GCGTGCAAATCTTTCTCCGCTTTCTTTAGCTCCCTGAACCACCTTCTGTATGCCTCTGGTGTGATGGTATACCAGGCCAATATAATTTCCTTTACCTGACTGTAGTCATGGATTTCTTCGTCGGGTACAGTACGGTAAGCTTCTGCTGCTCTCCCGGTTAGTCGCCCAATCTAGAATGGGGACACAGTCTTTCAAAATCCTGGAGGAAGGCATCTATGTCTTCCTCTGCCTCTACATACATTTTAAACGCTTGGTAGGGTATCTTTGGCTTACCCTCTTGTACAATGGTCACTGCTGAGCTGCGTTCTGGGGTTGACGGGGAACCGAACTGCCATCTGTTCGGTATTCCGCCATGACTTCAGTGATGAGAACAGCTTTAGTTTTATTGCTGGCTGGAATACCCCTTGCTTCCAGGAGATCTTTTAGCGTGGAGCGTTTTGGTGTAGAATAGTCAATCTCCATTAGTACTCCATTGGTACTTCTTCCTCTGTGAGTCTGGATCCCGGCGCTGCCAACCAATGTAGCGGAGAGCTGATATTTCACAGGTTAACTCCACTAAAGATCCCAGTGAGGCTCAGGAACAAGTAATAAAATCTCATATAACAACAGTCACAGCAAGCAAGGTAATCCATGAATATCCCAATACAGATCCCAATGACTGGATGACACACAGCATCAGGAGCAGAACTAAACTTTTAATCACAGAGTCAGCTTTTAAGCATTTCTCCCATGCAAGGGAGACACCTACAATAATTATACAGTACACCAATCATACATGAGTGGCCATCCACACATCCCCTCACCCTGGTATGACTCATAATCCCATTATGCAGGACACAGTTCGTTTTCTGGATGTACCCCTAAACCTAGGGGTACACCTCTAAATTTTACATCCCCTTCATAGCCCTGATCTTGGTGAGTGACATACTCAAAAATCGCCCATATTGGACCAGGGGTTTGGGAAATTCATGGAGGTAGTAAAAAGACCGACCGCGCTGAAGGTAACAGCCAAAATTGGTTTGACCCTGCGGTCGGTCACAGAAAAAGGGAATAAAATGCATGAACGGCCTTGGTTATGGAGACTGGGGAGGATTCGGATAAACCCCCTTGTTCGTGGGGTTCTTTCTACCGAACGGTGAGCCGTTCGGTAGTTTCTACATGAATTGATGGCAGTGTGGAGGTCTCAGCGGTGTTTGCCTAGTCGAGTGTCCGATTTGGGTTCCAGACACTCGGCTGCAAAACACGCTGTTTGGGAGTTTAAGATGGCCGCCGCCACGTGTTAGTCTCCCGGCGGCCACCCAGAGGACAAAGCGCACACTGCACTGATTGCCAATTACGAGTTTGCAACATTGTTGCAAACGGTAATTGGAGGCACACTTATTCCTGGGGTGGTCGGATTGTTCTGTAGTTTAAAAGGAAAAAAGAGAAAAGGAGAGGGGATGAAAGATCACACCCTCTACCTATAGAGGTTACAAGAGGTATAAGGGGCCTGACCCCAAACGCTTATATCAATTAGAAAAAGAATGGGGCGGAAGATCCACTCACAACTAGTGAGTGGAAATGCCGACCCATAGGAAAATACCTCCTAATGTCGAATGTCACATAAAAATAAAAAATCTTTATTGAATACGAAAATTATATATCAAAAAAATGTGATAGTGGAGTGCCAACACCCCTTAAAAACCTGGGTATAATCTAACTCAAAATAATTGAGTAATTAGTATTAAAGAGGAAATATAATGAAGTACAATAGTCTTGTGAAAAAACAGACAAAAGTAGAAATTCCTCAATAAACTAAATAAATATTAATTAGATATCACTGCAGTCCACTAATATACTTGAAAATTATGTAAGAAAAAAGAGATTGCTGTAATGATAGGGAGAAATACTAGGAAATATAGAAAGGGTGTCTGGGCTCAATACCGAGACTTGCCAATAGGGTAGTTAGTAAAAAGAAAAGAAAATAGCCTCTGTGGGACTCAATATGAAATGGGTCTCCACAAGAATGAGAGCAAAAATAGAAAATAAATATGCTCTAACAGGAGAACAGCATAAAATTAAGATGCCAAAGAGAGAGCTTCCCTGCTATAACGTAATCCTATCAAACCCTATAATAAACTGTCTTGCCCACACACAACTTTCTATCTGCTGCTTCGTGGCAGCCTAGCATAGTCCCTGAACAGCTAATAGATGAAAGTAAATCAAATCAAGTAGAGAGAGGACAGAGTGTGAACCCAGGTAAGTGTGTGAAAAAATAAAATAAAATCACAGCATCGGCTGTTCACAGCTCGACGCGCGTTTCGGCGTGTAAAATACGCCTTTATCAAGAGCAAACTGACATGTTGAAAGAGAACCGATTATAAAGGGAGGGGGATACACACCCCTCGGAGAGAGTCCTCCAATCGGAAGCCTTAAACCTAAATGATTGACGTAATGTCCCTCCCCGGATAGCCCGGCCAATCAAAAAACAGGGGCGTGGGTAAACCCAAAATGATTGGCTGTCCGTGAATGTAAACAGAGGGCGGGGAGGAGATTGGGACCGTAATGTCAATATTATGAGGAAACCAAGTGATCGTAAATTAGAATATTGAAATAACAATATAACCAATGAAGTGGTGCTAAATAGTTACAATCTCCTCCCCGCCCTCTGTGATTTTTGGATATGTTGTTCATCCAGATCGCGGCTATCAGTTATGTTTTGGGGTGTTTTCCAGACTTTGTAAAAATGTATGTTTTTTCTGCTTAATGTTAATTGAGTTAGTCTATAGTCTTCGTTAATTGTATCACAGGCAGAGGGGAGGGATTGTGTACACTGTATGGGCAGGGACGTTTTAGCTGTGAGGCAGGGGGCGTCTGATTTTTGTCCTGCCTAGGGCAGCACAAAACCGGGATACACCACTGTGTATGGGAGTGTCTGAATGTAAACCTCTGTTTTTATTGGCTTGTAAGTTTTGTATTCGGTGCCCAACCAGGTCCACCTCGGCGTCACCTTTGCTGTATAACTTCTATAAAAGACTAGTTTGTGCCATTAAACTTTCTGTTCCTGTTTGACCCTCAACACGTACTCTTGTCTCGTGATTGGAGGGGAATTGCTATAATCACACTGGGGATTGTTATACTTTGTATACTCCCCTGGGCTATAATCACTTAGCTCTTTTAAGAGCTGTTCCTGTTACGCTTTCCTGGAGGAGAGGTCTCTCCCACACGGTCCTGGATGTCAGAGGTTGATCCAGAGTGGAAGGAAGACGGCGAGATTCCAGTTAAGCTACGGCGGTTGTGGAGTCTGCAGTGGTTGTGGTGTTCAGTGCGGTGCTTATAGTCCTTGGCGTCAGCTAGGAAGCATCCGTTAATGGAGGTACCCAGTCGGGGTGCCAGGTGATCCGTTACAATCAATAGCGGGAATACCCAGTCATTCGCAGAATATAATATTTCTAATCTCATTGGCAGCACATAGATGTATAGCTGCCGGTTGGCTAAAATTAGATCCACCATCCAAGAGAGAGGTCGACCTAAAGATTCAAGAAAATGATTTTATGGATGATCTAACTTCAAGAGTTAGACATTCTTACAATATTTTTAGCAAGGTCTGTGAACCCTGTAAGGCACATACTAAAAGGAAGGATACATCTAGATAGACAGCGAGGGATTTTTTTGTTTTGGAGGGCGGGGGTATTTTACTTTAAATATAAAATACACAATGTTGAATAATTTAATCTTGAGCTACTAGACGTAAAAAATTTACTCTATAATAATTCATGTTATAATTCATGTTACAGATTGTGTAACGTGTTTATTTTTCAATGTTAAATAAAGAATTAAAAATATTATATATGTATATACCATATTACGGCAGATTTTTTTTCTCCAATAAGGCAGAGGACATACCTGATTGTAGAATGGCTTGAAATATTGAAAATCATTTTAAACTGATATGTTAAGAATGGCACAGTGACTATATCAGCATTAGATATTATAAAACAATGGTAAATGGAATGTTCAGTATCCTTTTTACTATGAACCATCTTCAGACCCGAGGGAGCCATATAACTAAATGTGGGTAGGGGTCCTCATAATAAAACATTTAATAATACCTTTATTTAAGGGTTATTTTGTTAAAGTGAGAATTGTCGGGAAATCAAAGTGAAGTCAACTTGAATTTCAAAGTGAAGGCCTAAAAAGCTAAAATGAAAAATCTTTGTTACACTTCTAAGCACAATAACACTTGAATTCAGGGTATTTAATTGAGATGACTTTTCAAGGTATCAGGAAAGACAGGTAATTGTGGACTTAAAGGTTTCTATAGGAACATGAACTATTCTATAACACTGGAGAAGAACGTTTCAACTCAAAATTCCCTGCTCAGCTTGTCTTGGTTTTAATGCCTGCACCAACTAAATAGTACCAAGGCATACTGCATTTTGTTTCTTAGATTATATCTTTCGAAAAAATGCATACTGAATCAACCCAGCATATAATATGGCATACAGCGTACTTTAACTCCTCAAGGACAAAGCCAATTGTTCAAGTTGTGATCAAAACATAGACAAAACCTGGAATTTGCGTCTGTTCAAACATAATTCACCTCTTTCATATTAAGTGCACCCATACTTATTACATATCATTTTTTTTCAGGAGAATCTGGGCTTTAATGTTACATGAACTATTCATATAGAAAACATAAGTTATTATGAATCTAAAAAAAGTTTGAGAATTAAGATTTAAAAAAACAAAACAATTTTAGTTCTGCGTGGCATTCTAACAGTGAATGTCATAATACTGTTAGTTTGCACTACAATAAAATGCACATATTTGTATTCAGCGATGTCTCACGAGTACAACAGTACCCCCCCCTGTACAGGTTTTATGGTGTTTTGGAAAGTTACAGGGTCAAATATAGCATGGTTCATTTTTCAGTTTATACACATTGAGATTTGCCAGACTGGTTAGGTTGCTTTTGACACTGTATCGTAGCCCAGGAATTAGAATTATCCCCATGATGGCATACCATTTGCAAAAGCAGACAACCCAGGGTATTCAATATGGGGTATTTCCAGTATTTTTTAGTAGCCACTTAGTCACAAACACCGGCCAAGGTTAGCATTTATAATAGTTTGTGTATTAAAATGCAAAAAACAATTATGAACGCTAACTTTGGCCAGTGTTTGTGACTAAGTGGCTACTAAAAAGGATTGGACATACACCATTTGCAATACCTTGGGTTGTCTACTTTTGCAAATGGTAAGTCATCATGGGGGTAATTTGTATTCCTGGGCTACCATATGGTCTCAAAGGCAACATAACAAATTTGGCAAATTTCAATGAAAAAATTAATTGGGCAGGCCTTATAATTAACTCTGTAACTTTCAAAAACACTATAAAACTAGTACATGGGGGTTACTGTTATACTCGGGAGACTTTGCTGAACACAAATATGAGTGTTTCAAAACCGTAAAACATATCACAACAATGATATCATCAGCGAAAGTGCTGTTTGTGTGTGAAAAATTCAAAAAAACTTTACTTTCACTGACAATATCATCACTGTGATGTGTTTTACGGTTTTGAAACACTAATATTTATTTTCAGCGAAGTCTCCTGGGTAAAACAGCACGCCCCATGTACAGGTTTTAGGGTGTCTTGGAAAGTTACAGTGTTAAGCATAGTGCTAGCAAATTAAATTCTCTGGACTTTCGGCATGGGTTGTTAGGCATCTCAACCAAATTGCAATCAATAAAATTACGTAAAAATATTATATAAATATGCGCATAGAATTTAAATATATATATATATATATTTTTTTTTAAGTCTACGTATATTTATGAAATTATTTATGTAATTATGAATATAGATATATACATATAGATATATGCCCCAACTGTGGCATACTAAATCAACATGCTACCTGCAAAGATGCTCCCGTTGTGCTGAATGCTCCTGGAGGAAGTCTCGCACCAAGGCAGACTATCTCCATTATAGATTCATATTGTGTTCATACAGCGCAGCCCTTGCCCTCGCCAAATAGTCATACTTTTCCTCTCTCATTAGTTCATGCTCCTGCAATCCCAGGCATCTCTATTCTTCGCCCTGCTGTGGCCACCTCCCAAACTAATCTTACAGCCGATAGCTTTGCATGTTACTTTACAGACAAGATTGAACAGCTAAGGAACAGCTAAGAATTCTCCCCACCTTGCCATTCTCTTTCTCAACCACACGTAGATCATGCCTTTCCTACCCTTCAGGCTTGTCCTGATGAAAGCTCCATGTGGGAGCTGAAACGTTGACATTTTAAATGGGTTGAATAAAAGTTAAATTTTATTTGAAAATCTCCACAAAGTGGTCATTTCTACTATATCTACATGATTCTTGCCAAACCAGCACCGGGCACTACAGGATTACACCAGGAGTGCAATCCCTCGCTATATTCACAAAATATATAAATGGTCCTTGCACTCAAGCTTCACATTTTTAAATATTTAAATGATTCAAATGCCGGGTGCCAGTCCTGGGATGTGGATATTCAAAGATAGTAGAAACATGGGCTGCACTCACGGTCTTTCCAAGTAAAGATTCTTTACTCCATCAAGATTAAAAGCAGATCAACATTTCAGTCCACACAGGGACCTTCCTCAGGATAAATAGCTATTATTATGTTATATTTTATCCTGAGGAAGGTCCCTGTGCGGATTGAAACGTTGATCTGCTTTTAATCTTGATGGAATAAAGAATCTTTACTTGGAAAAACCGTGAGTGCAGCCCATGTTTCTACTATCTTTATATATATATATATATATATATAGTTTAGTAATATATTAGAATAATATATATATTTTATTATTTTTACATTTACTTATTTATATTGTATAAATATATATATATATATATATATATATATATATACACACACACATTCACACACACACACACGTGTGTAATTTAATTCTAAATGTATTTTTATATTACTATATATATAAATATAAAAACACACTTAGTATGACATATATATATATATATATATATTGAGGTCCCTGACTAAACAGAGGAACCTGTATTACTAAAGTAATCCATCTTTATCATAGTCTGTTAAAGGAACACTATAGAATTTAGAATAAACATGTGTATGTATTCATAATGCTATAGTTTTTATCTAACTGTACTTAAACCCCCTCATGTGAGGGCTGAAGTGTGGGTTTTACTTAACTTTAAGCCTTCCCCACGCCAGTCTCAGTCATACTGGCATGTCTCTTTGACTGAAGTCATTGAGATTGATAATTTTAGTGAATTTAATGTTTCACACAAGAAAGCATTAGGAGGTTCTGCGCCATTCAGATTGTCTCTCTCTCTCTCATATATATACAGGGCCGGATTAAGAGCACAGTGGGCCTGGTGCTGACAATTATGATGGGCCTAATTACGGAATCTTATCGACCAAAAACACTAAAACAATCATACCTCCCAAGCGTCATGTATCTGATAGAGATGGTGCTGGAGGGAAACTCATAGGATGCAGCTATAAGAAAACACATACTCTATGCTAATCCCTCTCTAATTTATGTTTTCATCTTTCAAGTAAATCCATAACCCCGAACAGCAGTGTCCAGTGAAGCAGGAAGTCAATGGGCGGGGTAAAAGGGTGTCACGTGACAAGACCTGCCAAAAGGGGGTGAACAAGCCCAAAAAGGGGAACGTTTGTCCAAAGAATTGGAAGGTCAGCCTGGCATGAATGCATGTGCCAATCGTGCATGCTGTCCAACTAACGGCATACTATGCAGGCAGCACCCTGAGCTTGGCATAAATGCGTCTAATGATGCGCTCACTCCATGCTTTCTAAGGACTGTCCCATAGCACTCGCTGGTCCGCTTGTCTCCTTACCTTCTTACTAGCAGGCAGAAGTTCCTGGTATATGGTCTGGGACAGAGAAAAGGTGTCTGTAGTGAGTGTAGAAGAAAGGGCACATGCCACAGTGTTAGAGAGACCAACGTCTGCATTACCTAAACTAACTTTAATGTCAGCCAGTGCACACAAGTTTTGTTCCCATACATCCCTCTTAAGCTTCCAAACTTAAAGGGACACTATAGTCACCAGAACAACTACAGCTTATTGTATTTGTTCTGGTAAGTAGAATCATTCCATTCAGGCTTTTTGCAGTAAACACTGTCTTTTCAGAGAAAATAACTCCACTGGCTGCTCCTTAGATGGCTGCTAGAGGTGCTTCCTGGGGCAGTACTGCCTAGTGTGCAGCACTGCCATTCAGTGTCTCCATCTTTATGTAGACACTGAACTTTCCTCATAGAGATGCATTGATTCAATGTATCTTTATGAGGAGATGCTGATTGGTCAGGGCTATGTTGGACTTGTGCTGGCTCTGCCCCTGATCTGCCTAGTTGACAGTCTCAGCCAGTCCTATGGGGAAGTATTGTAATTTGCTCAGACCACCACTTCTGAGCCAGCAGCTGCAGAATTTAATACAAGTAATATTTTACTATATTTAGGGAGGCAAGAAGGGGCCATGATTGTGTTCCTGACCCTATAGTGCTTCTTTAAGCAAGAGTATGTGAAGAGTAGTTAAGGTTGCCACCTTTCTTGGAAAAAAATACCAGCCTTAATAATTTGTATAATTAGTTATGCGTGACATCACATGATGTAAATTACAAGGAGTGACATCAGAGAAAATTCTATAAAATCACCAAACTACTCACAGTTTGATTCTGCTGTATAGATGGATTGCTCCCAGTGTCTCCCTGTCTCCCAGTGTCTCAGTCTCGCAAGTCACCCAGTGTCTCAGTGTCCCTATGTATCACAGTGTCAGTGTCCCCATGTCGCCCAGTCCCCTAGTGTCTGTGTCCCCATTTCTCCCAATGTCTCAGTGTGTCCCCATGTCACTAGGATACCGGGGACACTGAGACATTTAGGGAAACTGGGAGAAATGGGGACACTGAGACACTAGGGACACAGACACTGGGAGACATGGGGACACTGAAACATTTGGGGACACTAAGACACTAGGGACACAGACATGGGAACACAGACACTGGGAGACTAGGGGACACTGGCTGGGAGACAGACACTTGGGGACACTAGGAGACATGGGGACAGTTGTGGACATAGACATGTGGACACTGGGACATATAGGGACACTGGGAGACATGGGGACACCAGGCACACTGAGACACTAGGAACACACTGGGAGACATGGAGACACTGAAACATTTAGGGACACTAAGACACTAGGGACACAGACACTGGGAGACTAGGGGACACTGGGAGACTAGGGGATACTGGGAGACAGACACTTGGGGAGACATGGGGACAGTTGTGGACATGGACATGGGGACACTGAGACACATGGGGACACTAGGCACACTGAGAGACATGGGACACAGACACTGGGAGACTTGGGGACACTGATACACTAGGGACACTGGCTGGGGGACATAGTGTCTCCATGTCCCAATGTCTCCCAATGTCCCTATGTCTCACAGCGTCCCCATGTGTCTCAGCGTCCCCATGTGTCTCAGCGTCCCCTAGTGTCTCAGTGTCCCCTAGTGTCTCAGTGACCCCAGGTCTCCCAGTGTCTGTGTCCCCATGTGTCCTAGTGTCTCAGTGTCCCCTAGTGACAGTGTCCCCATATGTCCCCAAGTGTCTCAGTGTCCCCATGTTTTCCAGTGTCCCCAAGTGTCTCAGTGTTCCCAGGGTCTGTGTCCTAGTGTCTGTGTCCCCTAGTGTATGTGTCATCATGTGTTCCCTAGTGTCTGTGTCCCCTAGTGTCTAAGGGTCCCCATGTGTCCCCTAGTGTCTCAGTGTCCCCTAGTGTATGTGTCCCCATGTGTCCCCTAGTGTTTAGTGTCCCCAATGTTTCCCCTAGTGTTTCAGTGTCCCCATGTGTCCCTGCTGCCTTTCCCCCGATCCCTCACTTACCTGAGCTGTAGAGCTGCTGTCTGGACTCCCTGTGCTGTGTAGCTGCTCCCCCACGGATCAGTGAGTAGTAGAGAGAGGCAGGGATATTCTGTAACTTCCTATCCCTGCCTCTCTCCACACACAGTGACCCCTACTGGCCGGTGCTGGTATTGCAGAGTAATTTCCATTTATTCTGAGAAAATTACCTGCATTTGTATTGCTGGTATTACTGCAATACTGGCAGGGCCAGGCAGCCTCAAATACCGTCTGTGCCATTAAAATACCAGTCAGGTGGCAAACTAAGAGTAGAGTGTAAAAAAAAAATAAAAAAAAGATTTTTTTTTTTTTT